AGTCCGGTGACATCGACGTCACTGGACTCCTCCCCCCTTACCTTCGTTAGACGACGGAGACGAAGAGAGAAGATTCAGAAGTGTCACATGACCACAAATTTAGATAAGTAAAAGGGTAGGTAGGTTTTTTTAACTAAACCCAGCAATTAGTTAGAGGGGGTATGGGGGTCCCATAAATCAGCTTAAATAGCATCAGGGAAAATTGCTGGAAATGTATTTCTTTTTTAAATATTAAAATGAATTTGACAGCATGGCTTGCCAAATTTATTTCTATTATGACAAAGCCCTGTGTCATTACGGTACCCAAATTCAGCGCTCCAGTTCCAGCAAAAAAAGACACACCAGCCCAAACAATGTCATCATTAAACTTTTACTGAAATATCAAAAAGATAATGTTTAGAACACAATCCTATTCATAAAAATTCTGCATAGATCAGTGACTCATGCTATGCTAAATTGACCTCTTCTCCCATGGACCCCATGTATATGCCAATGTAGTTGGATCTGTATGTGCGTTATAATTAATCGAAATTAATTGATTAAAAAACATTTGATTAATCGAACACGAAAATTTTAATCATTACGAGCCCTACTATTTTGCTATAGACAACACGCACATGCATGCACATATTTCTTGAGCTATAAATGAAAAAAAGCAGGACATGGATAAGGTAGTCATAACAATCTCTCACTGGACAGTTTGCTAAACAACCCTACAAAGATATGGACAATTTAGAAAGGAATTATTCACTTGCAGTTATAAGGAAGAAAGTTCATTTTGCCTTTACCGATGGCTAGCAATGGGTGGTTTCCCCCTCCCCAACCACGGCAAAGCACTTGTGAGCTTTCCATCAATTAAAATTGATTCTTCCATTTTCAAAATATGTCATAATTTATGGTACACTTATTTCTGAATGTCAGAAATAATAAGCCAGTCTCCTATGGGTGGTTGTATTGTCATAAGCTTATGTATGGAATGGAAAAAAAAATAATGCACAGCAGGTGAAAAATATATAATATTTGTGATGTATAATTCTCAGACACTGGTCATAATATATATTTCCTCTGTGACATGAAAGACCTGACATTGCTTTGGGCAGCTGTCAGTCTGGTTGTTCTCTACAGATTCTGTGTCCAAAAAAAAGTGCCATGCGAATGCCCCTGCTGTGTTCAGCATAACGAGGAAGGCTCTTGATGTATGTCTTTGATCAGGCCTCACTTTCGCAGGCATTACCCAAAGGGATAGCTTCAGAGGCATTTCCCAGCCCAACACATGTTCAGCATTCACAGAGGAATAGGGACATTTGCCAACTCATCAGCAAATAGGAGAAAAGCTGTCAGACATTAATCCCTTAGGTGAATCGTACAAATAGATCATTGATATTTATGACACACCAAATTATTTTTCACTTATATTAAGTGGCTTAATGACCTACTAACCCTTGTAGAACCTTTTTGCTGTTCTGTATCCTTCTGTAAACAACATCTTTATTGGAGAATATTTTAGCAGATTGTTATTAAACCATAATCCTGGGTGAAAAATGGTATACCATTAGTGGAGCATATACTGCACCTTAAAGTGACACTAAACTCAAGAGGTAAATCTTAAAAACGCATTCAAGTACAATAACTATTAACAAAAATGTATCTTATTTGTGTATCACCTGGCTGTAGATCCTCAAATCATCTATGAATTGGTGCTGACACTGTCCTTCCTTCCAGAGGGTGGCTACTTCTGTTCCACATGGTCCTTGTGTGTTTTGTAAAAAGTCCACCATTCAGACTCACTCCCATGATCAACTACAATCTCAGTACAAATTAGCTAACTAAACATGAGATTGTAGTCTATCACAGGAGTGAGCTTGGAGCAAAAAAATATTTAATTTCCTCAGTAATTACCTGACTCCATATGACATGTGAACTAATGTAACATGGCAGGTCTTCTTTTTATTGGACTGCAGGGTAGAAGGTTCTTCGATTAGATGTCCATATAAATACTTGGTGACTTGAACACTTCCCATTGGCTGTTCATTATTGGGGTCCACACAGGGTCCTAAATACTTCAGGAGTATCAAGAAGACCAGTCTGTGGCAGGACTGGACTTCAGTATTGGATCAATGGTCTTTACTCCTGAAGGGTCACCAGGAAGGGTCACATGATGGAAATTTATATTTTTGTATTCAAGTACCTAACTATTAACACGAATGTATCTTATGTGTGTATCACTCGGCTGCAGATCTTCAAATTATCTCTGATTTGGTGCTGACACTGTCCTTCCTTCTGGAGGGTGGCTACTTTTGTTCCCCATAGTCCTTGTGTGTGTTGTAAAGTAGTCACCACTCCAAGCTCACTCCAGTGATGGACTACACTCTCACATTTGGTTTACCTATTTGTATTGAGACTGTAGTCCATCACGGGAGTGAGCTTGGAGCAGTGGATACTTTACAACACACACAGGGACCATGGGGAACAAAAGTAGCCACCCTCCAGAAGGAAGGACACTGTTTGCACAAATTCAGAGATGATTTGAGGATCTACAGCTGAGTGATACACAAATAAGATACATTTTTGTTAATAGTTAAGGTATTTGAATTCATTTTTAAGATTTAACTCCTGAGTTTAATGTCCCTGAAAATGAAGTTGCTGCTTACACTTACGTCATATTTTAATTTGCTTACAGGACCAGTTTCCAAAATAGGCTTCTTTCCTTTGGCTTGAGCATACTGCTGTTTAGAGTGTATTTGCACTATTTACTGATTACATCAGTCACTGTAATTCTGGAACGCTACAGTGTGTTAGAGGTGTCACCAGGTTGTAAATGTAGGCTTGGTGCAGTAGGACAGCCTAGTTTCCTGTTGGTCCTTGATTACACATCTACATCCTGTATTGTGAATTCTAACTGCTATTCTGGTTACAAGCTTGCTCTTCTCTGCTGTTCCTGTTTTACATCTGTTGGAAACCTGCTTTAACCTTGCTGTTTATTATTATTATTATACAGGATTTATATAGCGCCAACAATTTGTGCAGCGCTTTACAATATAGGGAAGACATTACAATCACAATACAAATCAAGACAACATGGTAAGGAGGGCCCTGCCCCTGAGGGCTTACAATTTAAAAGGGAGATGACACTTCTCTAACTAGCCCTGACCTTATACCTCAGTTATGACTGTGTCTAAACACCTACACAAACAATTGTTTCCTATTTATGGATTTGGCTCTCATCAAAAATATCTGCACCTGTTAGCTCATCAATTGTTAGTGGGGCATTCTCAACAGCCCCAGTCTAGGACTCTCATTTAGCAAAACCCAATAATCTTTGCAAGAATGCCTGGAGAACCCCTGCACACGTATTATTTTATGCAAATCAGCATGACAAAAAAAGGTCCAAATCAAGCACTTCAATTATTCCATAAAACAAAAGTTTTGCATAATTCTTTCACTTATAGCAAGATCAAGGTTCCTTTAAATTCTATTACTTGCTACAAGATGTATTGCCCTCAGTTATAATTCTTATTTTATTTACATCCTTTATGGTTTAAGCACTGTAGTGCTTCCTGAGGCTGGGTGTGCAGTGCATGGAGAGACCTAGTAACACTGTTGTGGGCAGTACAATGATCTGCTTGACCTAAGATAATGCTGGACATGTTGACTGTATGTCAGAGCAACCATTTGTAGTTCTGTGCAGGAGCACTCATAGAGGGGTGAAAATGCTGCCACTTTATAAAGTGAATGCAGAAGCAGCATTGTTACCCTATTAAGTGGTTAGATTTTTTTTAATTGTTTCTATTTACTTAAACTGAATCACATACTGTACATATTGTTATTCCAAGTGTTTAGATAAACTATACAGTGAGGAAAATAATGATTTGATCCCCTGCAGATTTTGTAAGTTTGCCCACTTACAAAGAAATAAAAGATGTATAATTTTTATCATAGGTGTATTTTAAATGATAGAGACAGAATATCAACCAAAAATCCAGAAAAAAACACATGATACAAATGTCATAAATTGAGTTGCAGTTCAGTGAGTAAAATAAGTATTTGATCCCCCACCAACCAACAATAATTTTGGCACCTCCCACAGACTGACTTTGTGGTACGCAGATTAGTCCTGTCACTTTAAGAAGGTGCTCCTAACGACAACTCATTATGTAGCATGCTACATAACGTAGTATGCTAGAACGCATTCATATAGGGTGCTTGTAAGACCCTCTATGTGATAGCAATTAAGTATAAAAAAAGTAAATAAATAAATGTAAGATTTCAGCGATTCCGTTCTTCATACACGGCATCCCAAACACAGCCGACTGGACACCGCAGCCTATACCTCATCCTCAATCAAGGCTGCACAACTCCTGCTTCCCACCAGCATCATGTGAGTAGATTGATTGATTAATTTCATTCATTCACAGTTATCAGTTTACTAATCAGATTTCTACATCCAGTTGTGGATGTTGGAGCACTTTTTGTTGTTCTTTGTTTCCTTTTTTTTTTGTCATTTCATAGGGTCCCTTCACCTGTGTCTTCAGAGCTGCCCACCTGTAATTGTAACACCATACCCGAGCCAGTCCTGAGAGTGCTGAACAATATCTGCTGTTTTTTTTATGCAGTTAAAGGACGACGTTTTCAGCATCATCACCACTGAAAACCTTTCTTCTTAATGCTACGCAGCACTGGATATGCTATTTCCACCCCAGGTGTTCTGACTGACATCGCCATGGACAAGACTGGCAGAAGTGACTCTGGGCACCTTCTTATATCCCTACTCCTGACTCAGGCAACAGAAGAGCGCTGTAGTCCCTATGATATGTCCTATAGTGGCTATGAAAAGAATTTCCAGTGTCCCGTTACAATGTAAGTTAAAAATAAAACCACTGCAGACATCAAAAGGGGCAGAGGAGCCAACAAATTAGAAAACAAAAAAGCCTATAAATGGACTAATACATAATAATAATAATAATAACAATAACTTGCAAAATAAAAATGAAAATGATTACCTGGTGATAATTGCTAGGTGAGGAGGGCTCATGCAGGCTCCCATGAAGAGTACCACATTCTCATGTCGCGTCTGTCGGTAAGCCATCACTTCCCGTTTAAATGCTTTTAGCTGGTCCTCATTATCCCGTTCAATGTCAATAAGTCTAATTGCTATCTCTCCGTGCCAGCGTCCATGGTACACTAACCCAAAGCGTCCTTTGCCAATCATCTCCCCAATTTCCAGCTGTTCAAATGGGATGTCCCATTCTTGCAAGAATATGCTGGTTTGACTGGCTTTACGGGGGAAGTTTCTGGCTGATAGCAACAAGTGGTTCATTTCCTCAAAGTCATCTTCCGACTCTTCTGCTTTCTCATTGCTTTCTTCATTCTGATATGGTTAAATTAAGGATTAGAAACTTAGATCATATTAGCGTCTATCAACCACCTATATTTTTATCAGATATTGAATTGGAAGGATTATTTTAGTTATAGAACTTGATTTCTTAAATGACAGTGCCAATTAATTAATTATATTGCGTATGGCTATAGCTAATGGAATATAAACCATTACTCATATGTAATGTGTTTGGCGCTGTATACACCTCCCAAATTTTTTTTGTTCATGTAAAAGGTTAATTTAGGAGTGGCAAAATAAGAGAGAAAGAATGCCCAATGGCAGCAGCACATTGGCCAATATTTCCCTTCCTCCAACCTCTGCTCTCCACTACAAGAACATAGAATGTTAATAATTACTAGATGCACCTAATCACATTTCCATTTGCTCTCCCTGAGAGCTCAAAACACGGGTGTGATAAAAGCATTGCCAAAAACCGATATATTGGCAAAATATTGATCTATTTAAACACATATACAAGAAGAATAGAACTAAAGAGAAAACTGAGGGGCCTATTTATTAATTGATTCACCCAAGATTCATACAACATTTACCCCAGATTCACACATTTTTCTAATCAAATCCTGTGAAAGTTGTGTAACAATAAATAGACCTTTAAGTGCTAAGTCCATAATAGTGTAGGACCTCCTACATACAAATATATACAATTATGGTCATGCTAAATGGACAACAGGTCTAGATTTTTTTTTCTCATCAGACAGGGATACTTATGATAGCTAGTCCATTTGCATAGTAATACTTAAAGGACTAAATAGTGGGTCGTGCTACAAACTGCCACAGACCAGGAAAATAACAGAACATTTTGTTGTTCTCCACTTAATTAAATAGCTTGATTATCTTACCTCAGATGTTGGTTCCACTTCAATTTGAAGTAATGGATTTCCTTCATTACTGGAATAAATAATAAAAAATTCAGTTATAATTACTGATATTATTACGATCTCATCAAAACTGGGAAATTTAAAGGAAGGAAACTTAGATAGCATACAGTTATGTAGTAGAGGCTGAAGTATTAACAGCTAATGTTTAATAACCGTGAAAATGTGTATTTAAAGTAAAACCTTAGCCAAAAGCTACATACACAGGTGGAACTCCTATATATAAGCTGATTTATTCCAAATGTGATTTTCTATCCCCAGAGATAAAACACGGCTGAGGGTTTAATGTTCTATTGTAAACACTGCAGGTATCCTAACAATGTCACCTCGAAATGACATACTGATATGATACTGAATGATAATTCGAAATGACAAACTGCATGCAAACTTAGTCTATTGAGGGAAGGCCAGCCTAGATTTATTATACATTGGCATGGTATATTTAGAGGCTGTAGTTTTGTTTTATTCTGTTTATAAACAGGGTACATTTAGGTATGGATGTTCCAGTATCTGTATCGGTGCCAATACTTTGCATTTTCACGAGAACTATCAGGGTCGCAATGGTTGCAGCTGCGACTGGCCCCTGGCACTCCACCACTGTCCTGAAATTATTAGTCTGTATTATTTTAGAAAAACAATCGCACGACATTAAAAGAAAAAAAAAAAGGCATCAGTAATTCTATCTGTGAGTACTTTGATACGTATCTGTATTTGTACTTGGTCTGGAAAAAATGGTATCTGTGCATCCTAAATATGTATATTTATATATAAAGTATGTATGTATATACTGTATATATATATATATATATATATATATATATATATATAGATATATATATATATATATATATGCTTTGCATGTAATGAGTCTATCTCATATATTAGTTTCACCTTTTAAGTTGCATTAGTGAAATAAATTAACTTTTGCACGATATTCTAATTTTTCGAGTTTCACCTGTAGATATCTATATGTATATAGATATCTATATATAAAACAAATCATACATAAAACAAATCATACATTAAAACAGGGATGCACTTATTTGGTATCTGTGCATCCCTACTTTTAAGAACTGGTGGCCTGGTGGATGTGAACAAAGAAAATCACTGGAAATGTGGATTCGAAGAAATTTGCTTATCTCTAGTCTTTGGTTCATTTCTCACAAGGGGTCCTATTCTCCATTAGAAAACTTTTTTTTAATGCACAAAAAACTACCATGTTAATGATATGATCCAGTGGGGGAGCCCGTATTGATTTGCGTTAGCATGATTGTTGTACAGACATTAGATTCCTTTGGAAAAGAGATTGATGTAAAGTATTCTATGTACTCTAAGTAGTAGTAACTTGGAAAGCTTTATAAGGAAAGACTCTAATCTCCACAGGCATATAGCCTACCCAAGGAACATGAAATCAGGGGTTACTTTGATATGTTGGGGCCTGTCGCTATACAGCAATCAAGCCCTAAGAATTAGCTATTGCAAATGCAGATATATTTAAGCTTGCAGGGGAGAAATGTGTAAACTATTCCAATAAGTGCAAAACACACCCCTTTGAGCAGTTTAGGAAGGTATTTACTATTAGTAGGAATTAAGTAGAATAGCCTAGGTCATCCAATCAGACCAAAGCAATGGATACCCTGCTTAGAAAATATTAATGGAGCACCATACAATATGTAATCCTTGCTGAGCTAAGGCTGCAATGATTTATACTACATTTCCAGATTGAGCTAAAAAGACACTTCATTACAAACCTTATGTTTCATAGCATAATAATTTGAGCCATGGCCAACACAGCTTATGAAAAAGCAGCTTTACTGTTTAGAGAAGATATACATAATTACTGGCTTTAGACAGGTGTATTTAGGAGCTGGCTTAGAGCAACAGAGCTGGCTAGCTCAAGATATAATAAATACACATAATCTATGGAACATATTCATTTCTTTTTGCTGCATTCTTTCCATTACTGGTCACTTAAACAAGAAATGACGCATTCCTTTCAGGTGCACTGCACATATCTGGCATATAAACATGATTACCAGTAAGACCTTAATAGATCTTTGTGCATCATAAAGAATATTCCCACAAAACTCAACAGACTATCTTAATGGGAATATAGACAAAAGTTATTTGGAAAAGTCTGAGAGTATTTCGCAAATAATTAAAATGAAAAATAAAAATCACTTTTTTTCAGCCTCAATTCTCATTTATTTGTGCGTATCATTAGTTATGTTTAAAATTCACGAACAATGAAACAACAGGTCCTAACTGTAAGACTTAACAGTGAAAGGGGATGGGGTGAAGTGAGACATAAGGAGTTGGTTCTTGTTTTATTTTACAAAGGCAAAGTACATTTAATAATAAAAAATACCACTTTTTATTGAAGCTGTGAAAACCAGGCAAATCCACAGCAAATTGCTATTTTTTTGGTTCTCCTGAATGTATACATCAAGTCTTCATGAATTTGTATAATTCAGGAAAAAAGATCACTTTCTCTTCTATTTATTATACTTAATAGAAAAATGATTTGGGACACTCAACACAATCTGCTCTGATTACATTGAAAATACTGCTTTCACTGCTATTGTATTGCACCACATTCATTTCTTATTAATTATGTAAACTAAAAGAAAATCCTTGTAAACAATCACATGAATTACCTACCTACTTTCTGTATATATTGAATTCTTGCTAAGTGAATGAAACTAGATGTAAATGAAAACATGAGAGAAACAAGAGCTTCAGTTATTGGCAATTCATTTTATTTTTCCTGTTTATACAGCTGCCCACACTGCACTCTGCCGGAGGATTAATTTATGTCTGTTATTTTATTTCATCTCTGAAGCTAAACACTAAATTTCTTTTTATGCTTCCATCATTAGCTGAGAAGATGGACACACAGCTTTTAAGCATATTTATAGTATTTGGGCTCTGGAGCTGCCATACTGATACTAAGCAATAACTTTACTTCCGCAACTAGCAGTGTAAAAATATAGTTATGGTTCTTATTTTTCATTTCAAGTTAGAATTCAGGACTAAAGGACCAAATAAGCACACAATAGGAGGTAACTGTGGAGGGCAGTTTTAACAAGGAGAAAAAGAACATTTGGCCTGTGTCCACCAAGGCATAACAACCAATAGGTATGCTAGTAAAACAACTTTGACTGACGCTGAAGATAAGCTCATACTTTGCCCCCCCTGGTGGTCTATGAGGGCCCATTGTAGTAGAGTTAGGACTCCAGTCAGAGCAGCTACATACTGTATATCGTTGAAATACAGGTGCACCACCATATTGTAAGGGGCCTCCCTTTGTTCCTTTCAACCTGCAAGCTCTTAAAAACTCCTACCTTCAGATAACAGTACCTTAAAATATGGTAGATTCTATAGAGATTTTTGATAAGCAAGGGAGTTTGGAATTATAAAATAAAGAATGATATTGGACAGTTTTCTGGCAGTATTATAGCTTAATGATTTAGTATTAAACACATAACTGGTTTTAAATATGTCTTTAATATTTGCATGGAGTTTTCATTTAGTCTTGGCTTACTAAGGTGCCGCCACTTAATATGTCTTAGAGAGGAAGTAAATCCACCAAATCAACTGTTTCTCAAAACAGTTACATTCTGTTACATTCATACGGGTAATAACTGACACAGTTGCCAGGGTACTTATGTCAGTTCTCAACTAAACTTTCAAGCCCTCAAATGGCTTTTGTTATAGCTGATCACATGTGCAGCATCATAGTAAATGCAGATCTAAACTAAGGCTAAGATACCAATGTATTTGGCTGTAAAATAATCTACAAGTCTACACCTAAGTTTGTCAACTGATCCCAACTTTATCTGATGTCACTTTTGAATACGGTGGTAGCACCTTTGCAAATGTTTTAAATTGCATTGGGGAATGAAATAAGCTGGGCTCATTGTAGGATAAGGGAAAACACCGGCAACATTTTCTAGTGGAGAAAACAAAGTTACATCATTTTAAAACGGAATTGGTAAGACATTTCACTGACATTCGACAAACACATGACTTTTAATTTTGTGTAAAGGCAAAATATTGAGGGTTCTCTCATCATGCATACAGAAGGTCTTGAATGTTATAAAATCAATTTATGCAAGTTATCCAAACTCAAGCAAAGACTTCTTTAGTTTTGGATAAACTTGGGAAGAGTTTTGTAGCAGTAAAGATTTCCCATCATTTCATGTCTTGACTGTCATAATTTTGCAAAAATATTTGGCAAAGATACTTACATGTAATGTTTTGAAACATTGATTTGTAGTCTGTTTTGTCTATCAGACAAATGTTATTTGATTTGTAATGATGAACTAGCCTTCACACAACCCTTCATTTAAGATGACTGTTAAGACATACTGTAGCATTCATGTTGCAGCAAACAAAACAGTGTGTTTACATTGATTTGTTTTAAATCAATAATTGTAGATTGCTCTAGGTCACCGCAATCAGGGGTAGATGATGAGGTACCTAGACGCTATGCATGTCTCCTTTATTGGAGAGGTCTTCCACTTTTCCCAGCTGTGTAAACCTCAATTAACTGACTACAGTAGATAGAAGAAAGGTGCACATACCCTGGATTAGACACTGGATGAAGGATTACTTGGGGTGCTCGGGGAGGGACTTCAGGCACAACATCTACAAATAAGAAGGAAGAATACAAAAATATAATTAGACAAAAAAGACAAATACCAAAAAGTTTACAAAACAAAGTTTATTATACTTAAACATTATACAGTACATCAGGAAAACAATTACAGGTCCTTCACTTATCCACAGTATTTACAAACTGTCTGTGAAAGGGGACATGTGCTAACATAACTTTTTTGAGCAACTTTTAGCTTTGCTCTGAGAGGTCAAAGCCACTGTTACCTATTATTAAACAATCTTAAATGTTGGACTGGCTACTAGCCAAATTATGATCCAACTGTATACCTTCTTTATAACATAATAGGGGGGTCAGATTAATTTTTAGAAGTTGAAGAGGACCCACAAGGTCCCATGGGCCAAGCTCCTTCCTTAGTGTGTACACTCTTCTCCCAATATAGCCACCTTAGTGTTGTTTTAAAGGTGCACTGTGGCATGCATTTGCAGCTGCAGATCCCAACATTGCCATTAGGATACCCAGCCCTCCTGTAGAAGTTGTGATGACAGGGCTTTTGATTGTTTGCAAACACAGTGCATAATTAGTTGCCTGACTTTTCAGCCTGCTACAGTAGAGGATTATGGTGACAGTCATTGAGGGTTCATGTAAGAAGCACTGCATCTCCACTCCCCATCCAGGAGCAGATAATGCATTTACACCCGGTTACCCCTGCCTCTGGCTGGATCTGGAAAAATGATCAGAACAGTGTTACGTTTCGCCAGACCTGATCGTGCGGAATCGGGGGTAATCTGATGTAAATGGACATGTGTCTGTTTACATCCGAATCCACATAGACTGGCATATGGTAACTGCAGTTTTTTCCTTCATCGCAAAATGGAGGAAAAAAACTGTACGGACACGGATGTCACAGCGGTGATCCTCTCTTGATCAGTCCGTGTGAAAGGGGCCTTATAGTTCAGAAAGAGGGCTCTCTAAATGCAAAAGTATAAACAATTATTATATATAAAAATAACATAGACATCACTGAAAAGTGTAGTGCAAGGTACATAGAGTATAGAGAATGTTTATTTAACATTCAACTTTCTTGCATTATTCATAACGTATTTCTTCACAATTTTGTAGCATATACAGCAAAATGTTCATTATTCCAAGAATTTCAATTAGATATTTTAAAATCAATATTCATTTTCATTGTAAACACATAAGAGATCAAATGGCTTATTAGAGCTGTGTATGTATTACAGGATACTTTGGTAGCGCAAGTTTGACCTTTATAAGACAAGACCCTGGGACTTTGTAAATTGTCACACAGTGTTTTATTGCTAGTTAAACACTAGTGCACTGTATATGCTGGCAATCCACGGTAAAAAAAAATTCCCTTCATTTGCTCCAATTCCATTATGAAGTAGAATGGCTTTACCAGTAAAGTACACCAAGCTTCTGCTATAAAACATCAGACTAGACCAGCATTTCTCAATCTTTTTTCAGTCATGGCACCCCTTAAAAGTATGCAAAATCTCAAGGCACCCCAGTCTAAAATGGCATAGATTTTAAGGGGGACCCCACGTAAGAACACACAAAAAAAGTAGGTTTCCCCCTACACATTGAAATGTCCCCCTTCAAATCAAGAATTCCTTCCTTAACATCACAGTCCCACTACCACAAAAGTTTGAGGCACCCCTGAGGAAGCCAGAAGGCACACAAGGGTGCCATGACATCCTGGTTGAGAAAAGCTGGATAAGACTATCCGTGAAGATGGAACTCATCTACACATTAGATGTGACATGACATGAGACATGACAAGCTCTTAGTACCAACATATTGGGGTCTATTCACAAAGCTGCCGAAGGATCTGGCCGTAGCTTCGGCTGATCCTTCGGCTAGCTTCGGCCCCAGGACCCCTTCGGTTCAGTAGAACTCATTCATTTGGTGAGCTGTAAATTAGATATCTGCCAACAGGAAAGTTATAGCAGGACTCTAGTCAAAATGTATTTAAAGGTTAATAGCCAATAAATAGATACAAAAATAGTCACAATAGTCACTTAGAGCTGTCCCCCAAAGTATTTATTTTCTGCCACTAGATGTCCTCAGTCTACCAGGTTGAATGACAGTCAGTATCATTCAACCCACTTCCTCTGAGCCCAGTCTGGCATGGACCTGCCCCCAGTGTATGAATGGACAGTGAAGGATATGCAGCACAGTGATGAGGACATCTCTCTGCCACTCTGCTTTCTACTTTTATTAGCATGCTACTTGCAGGCATAAACACTTCTTCTAGTTTCTTGTACAGCTTCTTCCTCTCTAAATCTGACCTCTGCTGTACACTGATTGCAAAGGTGATCATACACTATAGAATCTGATTGTACAATCTCATCTAGATCTGCCAACAACTATGTGGTATGAGCGCCTGCCTGATTAGATACACAAATTCAAAGGGTTGTTTAGGTTTCTCCCTTTTTTACATTATTTTGATAAAGCTAAAAGAGACTGTGCAGAAATCAGGTTGTATATATGGCCAGCTTTAGAGGGTGAGTACTACAGTACTAACACTGTTTGCATTTAAAATCAATATATTTAAACATGTACAGACTTTTCCTTTTCATGATGTTTTTTGTTCTCTGTATCAATAAATGAATACAGACATATTTACTAAAAATTATGTATTATTCAATACAGACCTGCATTAATGTCTGTATTTTATATCTGTCTAGCAGTTAGCTTTAAACAATTAAAAACCTCACTTGTAGCTGAGCCGTACAAAAAAAAAAAAAATTGTAATATACAACTGGTGTTATATCTTTGCAAACTTGGTTTCAGAAATACATTGAACACATCAAGCATGAAGGCAGGAGTTCCAAAGCAGAAGAATGGGATGTAACTATGCATGACCCATTCAAGGCATGCCATTCAAATATTGATCAAAAGCAACGCAGAGATGAAAGGATTGATAATGAAATGAGGGGTTTCTGTTGCTTAGCCAATCTATACCTAATGAGTTAACAATGTCACCTGCCACAACAAAATCTCCAGGATATCCTATATTCTATTTTGTAAAGATCATCACAAAAAAACGTTTTGGTTTTGGATAATAAGCCTACCTGGAAATATGAACTGCTGTTTATACTTGTAGTAATGAGAACCTTGCAGCAAAGAGGGACAGGCATGAGACGTACTGTTAGACCCTAAAAGAGAACATAAAAAAGAAAAGCGTTATATATAAAGCCTACTGGGGGACATTCAGCACAGTCTCTGCGACAGGTTTATAGTCCTATGCGTTTGTATTCCTGGACAGCCAAGTGTGACAGTGTGCAAAGTTCTCAGACAGATTTATTACTGAAGAAGCAACAGATTTTTACTCAGAACAGATGCATTAGGCCTCTTTCACAGGACTGTTTCTATTATATATACCTGTCAATTTTTCAGGCTGATCTGATTGGAAGCTCAATGTTAGTCTATCGGCATGCGGATATAAATAGAAGTGCGTCCGTTTACATTTGATTACCTCAGAGTATGTCTGGGTGCAAAAAAAATAAATAAAAAGAGTCCCTTTTTTGGCCTAAATGTGATGGATTGGAGGTAAAAGGATGTAAATGGACGGTCAGCCTACCCATAGACCTAACATGGGTCTGTTTTTTTGTTCCATTATAGGATGGAGGAAAAAAACAAATAGACATGGATGTCACAAAAGTAACATCCATTCCAATCTGCTCTGATTTGTTCATTGATCCCCTGCTGATTGAAGCAGATGCCACCCATGAAAAGGGCCTAATTAAGATCTGATCAGGGTCAGGTTTTATATTGTCGCAGTTTTAGATTATGCAGCTGAGGGAGGGATTCATCACTTAAAGTGAAACTAAACTCAGAAGTTAATTCTTAATAGTTAAGATTCTTAAATGCAATTTTAACAAAAATGTATCTTACTTGTATATCACTCGGCTGTAGATCCTCAAATCATCTCTGAATTGGTGCTGACACTGTCCTTCCTGCTGGAGGGTGGCTACTTTTGTTCCCTGGGTGTATGTTGTAAAGTAGTCACCACTCCATACACCCAGGGAACAAAAGTAGCCACCCTCCAGCAGGAAGGACAGTGTCAGCACCAATTCAGAGATGATTTGGGGATCTACGAATGAGTGACATACAAATAAAGTACATTTTTGTTAATAGTTGGGGGACTTTAATGCATTCTTGAGGTTTAACTCCTGAGTTTAGTGTCACTTTAAGCTGTAACCTTGTAGTAAATCTGATGTATTGCTCCGACATAAATAATAAATGTTCCCCATTATGTTTTAGTTCTTCAAAGTGCGATTATAACTTTTTCAATATCTTTTAAACATTGCTTTGTATGCAAAACAAAAAAACAATAGATAGATTCAACTGTGAACAATTTTCATATCACCTGGCAAATTAGCACTATATTTAGCACTTATGAGACAATTGATTCTGCTGAATTTAGCATCTGCCAGAGGAAGAATTGTAGGGAAACAGAGCTTGTAATCACAATCTAGTTGGCAAAACATTTTAATGTGCCCATGTTTATCAATCCAGGGTAATGGGTTAAAGAGCAGATCAGTTTTTCTGTCAAATTTTCTATGTAAGGTAATCATGCCCGTACATCAACAAAGAGGGACAATGGATAGATATTAGCTAAGACAACATTCCACTGGTCTCCTTTACAATCTAAACTTAAATTAGAACTGTTGCTAGGACATTCAAATCTCTACATCACCTTAAGAGTAGTGAATTAACTTAAAGGTATAGTCTAGATTAAAAAAAAAAAATTACATGCACACACATTATTAAAAGAAAAAAATGTGCATTTATTACTTTTTGCATTTGAGCCTGCAAAGCATTGCAGCTGCCATCAGCAGATCGCAGGTGCAATGCTCTGGCTCCTGCGGACTTTTCCGCCCCCCACACCCTGTGATGTCACTTGTACCATATTGAGAACTAGAAGTCCCGCTATCACGATGGCAGATGTGACCAGAGCCTGTGGGGAGAAGAATCCCACAATTTAGTTAAGGAAGGGGGTGGCAGGTAAGGGTGAGGGGTTGGGGACTCTGCCATTTTTCAGGGTACACCCTGAATATGGGTGTAACATGAACCATGGTCCACAAGGCAAACTTAGCCTTAGAAAACATGCTATCACTGACCTCTGTAGCTGCAGGCACTGTGGAGTAGTTCAAAGTTTATAGTAAGGCACTTTTACTTTGATTTTCTCTCACCTCTCCCAGCAGTGACTTGGTTTACTACCTCCCAAACACACACGCGCTCATCTTATATAATTTTAGAGAGAGGAGAGTACTCTATGTACAATATGTAGTTTGCATTATTGAATAACCTCATGTATACTTTTGTGACAGGGGACTAAAGCATGACCTATCAGCAGTGGTATACTGCATTTGGGTACAAATGTAGTTGTTTATATCAGTACAAGTTTTTATGTCATTAAAATACAAGTTAATAAAAAGAGAAATCCTCATTCCGCTTAATTTTCCTGTTTGCATATGAAAACTATGTTTTCGATTTTCTTATAGGAGACACTGAGGCAGACTTAGATTACGATCACTTTTTTATAGTAATTTCAATCTGAGAAAACATACTGAAAAGCTTTTGAGCCAAAAAATAAACATTGCAGCAGATGGAAGCTTTATCCCAGCAGCAAAATGATAAACCATATAAAATGATAAATTACAAACACGTCTGCTCAACCCAAGCCAAAATTTTATACAAAACTAATATATTTCTAGAAGATTCATCCTCCGCAGGACACACAGCAGTATTACTATTCAGATTATGGGTTAGGTTGTTAGTTTATCTCTTGTAAGTCATTGGGATAAAATTAAACTACAGAGCAAATGTTTGGCAAAAAATGTTTCCTAAAATGTCTTGTTTTCCTCATCAGCCCAGTGTTTTCTAAGGGAAATATTTACAAAGCAGGGAATGACATTTACCAAACATTCATTACATGTGAATCTTCCTGGTGCATGCGTTTTAAACTACACTGATTGATTCACCACCAGAGAATATTTCTTAAAAGTAAAATTCACTGCTTTATAAATATGCCCCTTAATAAATGTCTCACAAGATATAAGGTAATGATTAACTTTATCTGTTTGAGCAAAATATCTCAGTCCTGCTGAGGGGAAGAGGGTGGGAAGGAAGATGTCATCTATTGGGGATCATTTCCAAAACATGGAACTCATAGATATGCAGTAGCACTGGAACAGTAGGAGTAGGAATAAGTTTTGATATAAATCTGAAAAATTGGGGGATGCACTCCTTGAGGGAGGTAAGCCGTGACAAGAGTATGTGTGTAGTGTATGGACTTGTTTGATTAAGAGTTCCCAAAATGCATTAGTATTTCCAAAAATGAATAATTTAGGTTTATTGCAGTTATTAGCCAGCATTTCTCTACATTCAATGGATACATGGATAACAAATCTAGACGTATCACAAAATTCAGCCATCATTCAATGGTTTTGCTGGGAAGTGGGGTATCTTATTACAGCCTAAGCCTCCCACTGACCACCAGTGCTGGGGGGGTTGAAAATATTATTATTATTATTGTTATTATTAACACCAATGCTAAGTGTTATTTTACTCCCATACTACAAGCCACACATTTGGATGTGCCTCCAGGTATTCAATCCTTTGTTCTTGAGCCTTTCAAGGCATCCATCCTAACTATTTTAACATGTTGGCACCTATGCAGAAGACAATATATCAATCAATCTTATAGCTGCAGCTGTCTGTCCTCCACCAACCAACTCTGCTCCCACCTCCAGAATGCATGGTGTTTAATTTTATGTTTATTACTAAAAATAATTTTGATGTATAGGGGAGAACAGCTCTGTCAGGTATTTATCTCCTCAATATATTTAGTGTTGTCAGTGATACAAAAATAATTGTTAGCAATTACTGAGGCTACTATTGTATATTACATAAATCACATGTGAACATAAATCACAACTTTTATTGTAGCTGAATTGAAATCTTCTAAAATGACATAAAGTTAACTATATTATTGCAATTTTGTGGTTTTAAAAATGTAAAAAAGATATATATAAATTATATTTCGGTGGATAAACATTAAAGAGCCTGACAATCATATATTGTTCACAGGGGAACTAGTTGTTTGGTATGCACTATAAGTCTAATCTTAACCAATATACCAGGCATATCATGTACTTTAAATTGTTTGCTTTCACTTGACAACAGTCTGAAACATCAAGCAAGATCCTGTAAAAACATAGGAAGCAAAGCACAGAACAGTACTGTACATGGTTTCCTAGAATTGTTTGGAAGTTCCCACTTCTCTCCCATTTTGAGTTGGCTGCATTTAATGCTTATAGTTAGCATTAGCGCATCTAAAATTAGATTTAGAGACTACCCCTGCTATTATTTAATCTTAATTTTTTTCATGATTATACTTTATATTTTTAGTATAATTTCCTATATATAATTTTTATCTGACTAAATTTTCAACATTTTTCACTTTCTTCTGTTTGACCATCCGAGTGCCAAAGCTTGATGTCTCGTTATTGTTACTATTCTTATAAAATACCTTGACAACAGTTTTCAACATTTTAGTTACATTGCACTCAATTTTAAATCCAAGCCATTTTCACTGGAAAGGGCTGGTTTGATAATTGTACTCTGATCTATTCCCCACTTCTGCTTATAAGCAGGCTTAAAGTGATATTAAACCCTCAGATTTTTTAACATAAACCAATACTGTAATGTGTGCCTCCACTGTAATCCATGGTTGTTTCCCTTCTCTTTGCTGCTCTTCCTTTTAAATCCGCATGTCTTCTCATGCTTGGGGAGAACTTCCCTTTTCAGCTCAGGGCCTCTTCCTGTAGTGCTGGCTCAGGTTACAAGCCTATAGAAACGTACACACAGACACCGTGTATCCATTCCTGAGACAAGGCAGTCTGCTGCAAAACAGAAGTTCTGCAGAGCATGAGAACAGATACAGATTTAAAAGGAAGAGCAGCAAAGAGAAGGGAAACAACCATGGATTACAGTAAGGCACACATTACAGTATTGTTTTATGTTAAAACATCTGAGGGTTTAATGTCACTTTACATTCCCACAGTGAACAATTCCAGATAAAACACAGATGTGGCTTGACCTGGCTGGGGGTCTTAGAGATTGATTTACTAAAGACAAATAGGCTGTTGACTTTGCAAGGGAATTATCACTCTGCACAGGAAGTATCTCTTAGCTTAGCAAATGAGGTGAATGTCTACTGACTTCCATCATCCAATCATATGCAAGCAAAAATACTTGTTTTAATATATTTTCCTCTTATGTCATTGGATATTCCTTGAAGAGTGAATTTTCTTCACATTCACTAAGCTAAGAGAACATTATTTTGCAAAGTGGACAGCCTATCTGTTTTTAGTGAATCAATCCTATAAAGTGTATTTAAACTTCAGTCTTTAACACAGACAGAAGAAGCCATCAGCCAATGAGACCCAGGAACTTTAAACCAGAAGAGTGATTTCATGAAGGGGGAGAGGTGAGTGACTAATCCCTGCACATTCAACATAACAGTGTCTTATGTAGTTGCTTTCAAATTGATATTGAGCCACTTCAGATATATTTATTGTTTCCTGTGCCACTAATTCAGCATAGAATTGGGTAGAAAGCTCCACACATGCTCCAGGTGGGTTTCGGTACCTGGTAAGTTGAACGGCTTCTGCTGGCGGGTGCATTGTGGGGATGGGTGAAGAGGAGAGGGTGGGGTAGCGCTGGGGGGAAGCGGAGGAGCAGGTGAGGACGGTGTGGAGGATGTCGTAGAGGAAGGGTTGCTGCTGGAATCTGGCTGGTAGGGCACTGGAATGTGGTCCTGGGAAAACAAAAGAGATAACACATTGGGAAGCAGATGAGAGGAGAGCAGACGTACTGTGACATAAAGGTCAATATCCATAAACTACCTCCTTCATGAAACAAACATGTAGAGGCATGGCAATAATCACTTTTCCTGCACTGTTGTACACAAACATGAGAGTAGCCATTGTGAAGAATATATAGTGAACAATGCCAGAGGCAACCAAATACTCATGCGTCCTACAATACAAGCACCGTGGAATCTTCTAAGATGCATTGGCACTTGGAGATTCACCCTTATTTAAACATTTCATGTTCCTCTCTAATATTTACACCCACTTTTATGTAGCCATAGACTTAATGGAACCAACCACCATAAGCTATAAAGCCCAGGAAACTTAGACACAAGCATTGATTGATCTTTAATAACCTACCTCATTGTTCCGGAGAAGGATTCACTTTTAGTTTGATTAGTAAATCATTTTTCAATATGACCATCTATATTCCAACAATCCTCAACTCATTACTCCTCTATCCCACGCATTATCTCAGTTTTCTTTGTCCTCCCCCTCACCAGTGTTTGTTTGTTGTGATATTACCTCATTTTATTTATATGTAACGACACAATGCCTACAATCTCTTCATACCATCTGGAAAAAGACTGTTAGCAGATGGCCTTGCCGTCATACAGTTACTTGGTACCATAAAAGATATGAACATTGTGCCCTCAGCACAACCCCCTAAGTCCTTCACCCACTGAGCTCACAATAATGGGAGCACAACCTGGCCCTTGTGACCCTCACTACATTTACCGATAACCATGTTTTTCAGTTAGTAACCTTGAGCAATGAATTGGTTCTTGTACTCTCATAGCAATCCAACTATTAACACAGTTATAGTTTGAACTATTGAGAAAGTTACTGTATTTATACAGTTTAAATGACTCAATCTTAAGTGTAAGCTTTATGGTTATAATATATGATCCTTAATGTTGTGGAGGTGTTGGTAAAGGTACTGAACATTTCTATTTTTCAAACATATATTAATAATTAAGATAGAATAAAGGGTGTATTTCATGTCTAGGGAACAACTTTAAACATAAGTTTATTGTCTAAGGGACATAATATTTCTAAAACAATCAGTAGCACATTTGCGATCTGGGCAAAAATTCTTAAAATTTTCAGGCCACATATGAAATATTTACAATATGGAAATTATATACCCAGCAAATGTGACTTTTGTGCTGTCCAAACTCCCCTTTTTCTCAGCTGAAGGCTGAGAAAAGAATGTGCAGAGTAGGGGGACTTTTGCTACCTGAGTAGGGATCCTGAATTGAAGACCAGACCTCCACGGGACATCATACTGTACACCACTAAATATTACAAATAAGTTTAGTTAAATCAAGAATGTTTATTTTGAAAAGGTTGTAAAACATGTGGGTTTTTGAAAAGTTTCCAAACATGGTAAACTGATTACTAGTTTACCATTGAGAGAATGGCCACCTATTGCCATTCTTGGGGGTAGGTACAGTAGGTGGCACTAAACCCCCCACCCATGCCAGCACTTGCTACTGGGAACGGGAGAATCTGAAAAGCCCAATGCTCATTAATACAGGCTGCACACTTATAGTATCTTGCCATGGTATACCAGCACAGTGTGCTTATACACTTGGCATTGTATTAACACATTTTTTATTTTTAACTACTAGCCAAAAAAAAATATTTAGCCAGTTTTCCAATCCAGACATCCCTGTCAAAAAAAAAAAAGTCACTATCAAACCTCCCATTTCTCTACTGCAGTTAAAGCAAAACAGATTTGTCAAGGACTGCCTTAGCCAGTGACTGAATAGTCATAGAAGAGCAACACACTGATAAGGCCACTCATGTACTCTCGTAGGCAGTGGCGGAGCTAAGGAACAAAGGGCCCTGGTGCAAGATTTTTTTTTTGCCCAATAAACCAACATACACACCGCTCTCCTTTCGCAGCGCTCGGCCGGCTGTCACTTTCTCTCCTCCCCGCTGGGACACAGAGCAGCGCCCAGCGGGGAGAAAAGAAAGCAGGGATGTGCCGCTGTTTCGGCAGAAAGATTGCACTTTCGGCTGTAGGCTCCCTGTGTCAGGCCTGATTGGTTTGCAGTGCTGCCCCTTTCTGAATCATGTTGTGCAGAGAACTATTAAACACAATAGACTAAGGTACTATTAACCAGCTGTGAACAATGGGCATACTACAGACACCCAAAAAAGCTTAGCCGAAGTATGAAGGGCATTTGCTGTACGCCCTATCTTGACCTTAATGCCCCCCCTCACTTGCCAGGAATTCTACAGCTGTTTTAAATACATAGAAACTTCTGACTGTCAAGATAATAACCTGAAGTTTCTTTGGAAATACAGCTGCTGTAAAAGGTGCTGTGGTCAAAAAAACAACCTTCTGGCACAGTGATTATAAATGATGTTTAGATACGAGCGCAAATTGTTTTTTTTTTAAAAAGGCTATATATTTTATTTGTAAATGACTTTGCAATGCTTTGTACTAGAATATAATTTTAGTGCCATTTCAAAGAGGTCAAATTATAAAATAAAATGTCTACTTGTTATCTACAGTAACACTAATTTATTTTTTAACTAGCACAGATCAAACTAGATGCAAAGTGCATTTTTGTAACATTTTGATACATTTTTGTATATGGACTGTATAAAAGTTAAAATCACTTTTGCAAGACAATATCGTCAAAAGCAATCCCTGTTTTGGCTAAACAAAATAATATATGTATTCATTTATTATCTTATGTAATGACAAAGCTATTGCTGAAAAACCAGATCCACAGCAGAAATGTAAACATTGCTCTGGTCCATAGAGGGTGTACACGAATGAAAGCTGGTGAAAAATAACATGTATTATATTTATGTATATCTTGAGCCAAAACTTTTTTCTTTGTAGTTCTTGGAAAAGTTAAAAAAAAAAAACATTGAGATTTATTTTTGCTGGTTATGTCCCACTGATGAGATTTCCCTTTACTTCCTGTGCTGGAGATAAAGCAAAGTGAGAGGCAAAGTCCCTCACAGAGACAGCTGTCATCATAAAATACGTCCTCATTCTAAAGGGTCTATTCACTAAGCTGCCGTAGGCAGCCGAGTGACTAACCGACCCCAAGCGAAGTGAGCCGAACGCTGTTCGGCTATTCATTTCAGGCTGTTACAAAATTGAAATAGCCAATAGGAATCTAGCAATGCATTCCTAGCATGCCAAAGGCTGCGATGTCAGAAGAAAAAAAAAAACAAACAGAGCAGGGAAAGGTTTACTCTGCTCGATCGAGCAGGGTGAACCTTTCTGGGAGAAAGTGTTTCTCTCCTGGGCAGCTGGGACCCTATTAGACTCCCAGAGCGTCCGGGGAGGAATGACAGATGGCGTTCCTGGTTACCAGGTTGGAAGGATCAGCAAAGCTTCGGCTAGATCCTTTGGCAGCTTAGTGAATAGACCCCTAAGATTTCTTCTGTACCAATGACAACTATACATTTTTGCTTTTTAACATTACTTTCTTCCCCCAATAACAAGGGGCACCAGGATAAAATGAGAGGGTGAATCTTTTCAGCCAGGAAAAAGAGTTGCATCTCTCTTTTTGGTTATAAACTGCACTATATCAGTTTACTGCTGCCGCGCTATGACCAGATCTATGATATTGTTAGATGATATCTTTTTCCTACCTAGTTTTTCCAAACAAGGCCCTCAGCTGAGGAAGGAGCCTCTGTCTATCCTATCATTATAAGTATTACCCTCAGCAAAGTTTTTTTTTACTCTTGATCTACTCCAGAGCCAACACAAAACCACACTTCAAGTAGATTCATTATGTATCTGGATTTTTGGAACCTAAGTCAAACCACTGAACTCCCTCTACCTGTAATACAAACACATGAACAGCACAGGATATTTTAATTATGTGTTTTAGTTATGTGATTACAAACTGGAGTACATTTGTTATTAGTACCTCCTACCATTTTCTCCTTTTGCATGAGCTTTTAAAATCAACAGTAGCATATTTTTGCTTGCACTGTTATTACAGCAGTGTGTATTGGGTGGACATACAGATGCAACGGAAAAAAACAGATCTAAGGATATTGAGATCTGGAGGGCTAGAGAAAGTAGCTAGAAGAGACAACATACTCAGATAACGGGTAATATAGTCTGAAGGCACTGGAAAGTTCAGTGCTTCCGATCGTGATATGACCATGAGTCGTATTTTACATTATAAATGGGAAAAACATGCAGTAATTGCCATGACTGGCACAAAACAAATCAATGTAATGCAATCAGGCCTGTATTTCCTGTTATCTGTTGCGTGGTGTGGATGTGTGTATTTTTCATTTGTCCCTGACTCTATTCATCTGTACAAATGGATTATTATCTGTGCCAGGCCTGTACATTCTCCCGCATGTATATCCATATGCTTTTGCTATTGATGCTGACAACAGAAATAAATATGATCAGCTCACAAGGCTTTCTAGATTAATCCCCTCTTTGCTATACTTTACTAAACAAACCAGGACTTAAACCAATAACCAAATACACTTCTCTAAAAGGAGAAATGACTTCTGGGTAAATGTAATTTTAATTGGCAGGTCTGCCATTTTCTCACATACAAAGTTTTTGGACCTTTGCTGATTTAGCTAACACATTAATTGACCAAATTGTTGTAAATTGCTGTAGTTCCACAGGTGGGTATTGTTAGTCAAAAAAGATCACGTGATACTTAAAGTGAACCTGTCATCAGTATTGAAGTGGGTGTTGGGCTACAAGCTACAGGTCTGTCAGATAGGCAGTCTGAAGGCTAACTAAAAGAGCTTGTACTGCAGGCTGACAATGCAGCTGCTAATTGTAAGGCAGTGACTTACCACTGTCAACCTAGAATAAGTAATGATAGTGGCAGGATCTTCAAGTAAGAAACGTTGCGCTGCTCGTTGGTTTTGTCATGACAGGGAGGGCTGCATACTGTACATTTAAAAGTACATAGTAGAATACAGGTGAAACTCGAATAATTAGAATATCGTGCAAATGTAATGGCAGTAAGTGCTGCAAAAGGGGCCCAAACCAAGTACTGAGTACATATGCATGCTTGTACTTTTCAGAGGTCCGATATTGTTCTATGTACAATCCTTGTTTTATTGATTGCATGTAATATTCTCATTTTCTGAGATTGTGGATTTGGGGTTCTTGGGGTTTTCATGAGCTGTAAGCCATAATCATCACAATTATGACAAATCACGGCTTGAACTATCTTGATTTGCATGTAATGAGTCTATCTCATATATTAGTTTCACCTTTTAAGTTGCATTAGTGAAATAAATTAACTTTGCACGATATTCTAATTATTCGAGTTTCAACTGTATGACCAAATAATCAATGTCTCATGAGAGACCTCAGAGCAGTTTAAAAACTCCTAGAAGTTAAATGATCTGCATACAGATATGCCAAAACTTGAGGAGCACATACGTTTTTTTTTACAAGAAGTAAAAGAATCTGCAGGCACTTTCAGGTACCAATGATAGGATAATTACAAAAGATTCAAGGGTTTCAGTGAATCAAAGTGACAGAATCTCCTGATAGTCTCCTGCTCAATACCTTCCCCATGCTCCCCTCCTGCCCCTTTCGCCTGCCTGAACCCATAAAGAAAGCCTTATTTATGCATATTTAAGCTTATGCAGAGCTAATGACCTTCCCTGCATTCATGTTCTCAGGCCTGGCGATTGACAACTGAGTGGTGAGTACTGCTTTGTGGGCAGAAGGGAAGAAGGTCAAATGTTTCCCCATATTTGGAAGAACTGGTTATTTCACATGTTGCGGAAGGCAAACAGAGTTGTGAAGGTCAGTATGAACATGGATAGGGGGAGGTTACTTTGCCCTGAATAAGTAGTGACTACACAAGTTTAATTGAAATTAATGACAGGCTTGCTTTAAAAACTCAGGTATTTCAAGCCTGTATTCCGGTACAGACCTGTCCTGTAAAAATAGCATTTAGATGCCATTCACCACACCCATGGTGCAGTAGCACACATGGTACCACAGCAGGCATTAGCACAAAATTTACGCATTAGCGCATCATGATGCCATTAATTTTGAATGGCAGCCCAACCAACGGTTAGCGTGCACCTGTGCACTATCTGTGTCATGAAAAGTGCAGCAAGCACTTCTTTTCCTTGCTTTAACACAGTGTAAATGCATGTGTTGCAGCATGGTGTGTGATGGTGTGAATGAACCCTTACTTAAGCATTATTATTTTTTTTAGCAGGGGCTCATGCAGCAGCAGCTAGGCTGCATAAAGTCTATCTTATACTGAGTACCACAGTAAAATCAACAGTTATATGTGTTGATTGGCATTTATCCACCAACATTTCTGGTCTACACATTCACTCTCAAGTCCTCTAAAAGCTAAATAGAAAAAAAAAAAAATATATATATAGATATATAGATATATAGATATATATCTGAATAAGTTATTTTGATTCAAAATGTGTAAAATGTTATGTTAGGGTGTGTATAGTAGCTTACCTTATTTATTTTGTTGGTTTTGGGAAGGGTTTGGCTGACATGAAGGTCTGAATACCGTGGAGGTTTTCTCAAAGGATTGTTGATGTCACATGGTACAGATTCGGTCCTAACTAGCCGCGCTGAAATTAGAAATAATAATGAAGTTTATTGTTAAATGATGCTGGAGGACAAGTCAAATGTACCATTTATGTGAAAAGAATTCTAACAAATGACAATTGGACCTTTATCGCCTTTCTTTGGGAAAAAGGCTCATCATTCACTGCAAAAGTGGCAAAAATATGGGCCAACATCAAGAGTATTTATGGCTACATCAATGAGAGAGGCTGTTCCATTTATCTATATTAGCAAAGCACATAAACACTTTAAGAGTAAAACAAGGGCATGACTTCTAAAAAAAAAAGTTTGTTTTATTTGTTAATTCTAACAGGAGAACTGACACTTACCTCCTCGGTGTATAATTAGTAAATGACATGGAGGAGCCTCTTTGGTGCATTTATTGTGGCACTTTAACCTAACAAGGAGACAGAAACAAACAGATACATAAAATGAGAGAGAGAGAAAATGTGAGAGAGAAGGAGAAATAAATTAATAAGCAGAACACTGGAGGATTCCAAACTTCATGTATCTCGTTATTAAGATATAATCATTATTACTATTGCATGTTCCCCAAACACCAATCAGATTCAAACCTGCCCAGCCAGAATCTGATTGGAAACTGTAGAGAAATAGTGTCAGTCTTTCGTACCGACATGTTAATTATACATAAGGCCACGTTTAGGCCATCTTTCCTGGCACACCACACTTTATTTCCCAATAGTGTCAAGGTTCAGTAGCCTGAAAATTCAGGTATCAAACCTTCATTCATGCGGACAATAAAATATGATCCATTCACCATTCACATTTCAGAATAAATCATATACACATTTCTAATCTCAGTGGGGAAAGGTGAATAAATATGAGCTAGAGGATGCATTTCTAAAAACTGTTCCACAGAATAATTTCGTAGAAAAAGTAATTCTGCACACAGTAACCAATCCATTTCTGTCATATTTCCAATTCAGGATAGAAAATGAAAGCAAATATCCCAGCAACATTACTTACCTTAACATTCATAGTCACCTACAAAACAGCATTCATGAACATTCTCCGATTTAACTCACAAGTTAGGTGTTTGCACAAAGTAATACCAGATGTGCAGTGATGGGTTAGAAATAGGCAAGGCACTTCCAGCTATACGAGTGCCTGCCAGTGACGTGCGGTCAGGGGAGGCAGGTGAAGCAGAGCCTCACCTGGTATTATGGAGGAAAAAGCTGTCAGCTTCAAGTCTGAATCTGACAGCTTTTTCTCCAATCAGATCGGCTTAATATGTTACAGAGCAGGTATAGACTCCCCGCTGTGCAACCTGTCCTAGATGGACAGGCAGTGCTGCATCCGGCTTTTGGCAGGTAGTTAGGTTACACAGCAGCGGGCTTCACCTCTACTCAGTGTTAGAGCTCTGTGGATGGTTTGGGCCAATGTCAAAGCGCCATTGGTCCAAGCTGTCCAATAAAACATTTTTTAAAAACCCCCACTGAGGGCATTGATCTCGATGCCTCAGCAGTGACGAGCAAGCGAGGGAAAGGAAGGCTCCTGCCTGTCTCCTCCCTCCCTCCTTCAGACTCGTCTGTATGGGGGCTGAGTGGGATATGGGTGGGGCTTCCGTGTGCTGGGGCGGGGCTGTGGAATGCCTCACCAAGAAGCGAAGGTACCGCACGTCACTGGTGCCTACAGGATATCAGTGCACCTTCTATAATCAAATAGCTTCACAAGAGAAAAGGATGTCAATTAAATACATCACTGGGCAACAGATCCAGACTCAGAGGAATATCTGAAAACCGCAAAACTTGAACACAGGTCTCTCACAACCCATAAAAAGACTCTTAAAGCCCTGCTTTAATTTGCAGCCAGCAAAATATAACTACCAAATCAGACAGCAATAAACACAAAGGTAAAAGAAATGGAAAGGAAAAAGCTGTACTGTACACAGCTAATGAATACTGAGGATCAGACCAGCTGCTCAGCAGAGACGTCATGGGACCCGGGAATAGTTAAACCTATAGGACCTGGTTACAAAGGTTACATCTTTAACATAGGAAAAAGGAATATACACCAAAATAATAATAATAATAATGTATATGAAAAATTATTGAATATATTATAGTAAAATGTTGTACACGCAGAGAAATGAGGTCCATTTTTTTTAAGTTCAAAAAGTTAAAAATCAACAAACTCATGAATGCATAACAACTCATTTATGTCTATCAGAATAATGAAAATAATTCAGCTTATGCTATATATAAATATACTGTGTGTGTGTGTGTGTATATATATATATATATATAGATAGAGAGAGAGAGAGAGAGAGAGAGAGAGAGAGAGAGTTGAGAGAGAGAGAGGGGGGCCCAAACCATGAAATGTAATTTTAGATCTAATTTTCCATCTACCTGTGTATGGGTGCCCCTGACCTTGTATTGTTTTTCACAGCTCAGTCACCTAACTTCTACAATATATGTTGCAGGGTGACACTTCTATTTTTAACTTTTTTCTCAGATATCAAATGACAGGAAGGGCTAGATTAACATAGGGGCGGGTGGAGCTGCCACTCCAGGTCTGCCCCTGCAAATAGGCCTGGCCGACCCGGATCGCCTCAGTATCCGGGTCGGTGACTGGCCACAATCAGGCAGCAGTGGCCCTCTATTCAGGCATATTAGAGGGCTGCTCGCTCCTCACTAGGGCCCCGAAAGGCCCCAGCGAGCTTTCTAATATGCCTGAATATCCCTACTGACCAGCCAGAGCCCGCACTGACCACCCAGAGCCCCCACTGACCTCCCAGAGCCCGCACTGACCACCCAGAGCCCGCAATGACTGCCCAACGCCCGCACTGACCGCCCAGAGCCCCTACTGACCACCAAAAGCCTGCACCCAGAGCCTGCACTGACCACCCAAAGCCTGCACTGGCCACCCGGAGCCCGCACCCAGAGCCTGCACTGACCACACAAAGCCTGCACTGACCACCCAGAGCCTGCACTGACCACCGGGAGAGCCAAACTCACCCCCTAAGAGCCCGCGCTGACTACCTGAGAGCCTCACTGACCACATGAGAGCCGCACTGAACACCAGAGAGCCTGCACTGGCCCCTTGAGAGCTTGCACTGGCCACCTTAGAGCCTTAACAGCCCCCTGAAACCCTGCAAGCCCTCCTGAGACCCTGGAGACATCTGGCTGTGAACACGGAGCAACAGAGTATGTAGCTTCATAGTATTCTGCACTGCTGTATAAAGTATTGCTGGGATTTGTAGTCCTCTATAGCTGATTGTATTATTCAGCAGTGCTTAACAATGTACTGCTGGGAATTGTAGTCCTCTATAGCCAGTGCCATTCTGCATTGCTTTAAAATGTATTGCTGGGATTTGTAGTCCTATATAGTTGGTGGTATTCTGCATTGCTGTGTAATGCATTACTGAGATTTGCAGTTCTCTACAGTTGGTGGTATTCTGCATTGGTGTGTAATTTATTGCCTGGATTTGTAGTCCTCTATAGTTGGCTGTATTCTGCTTTGCTGTATAATTTATTGCTGAAATTTGTAGTCTCTCTACAACTTGGGAGTCAGTGGCAGATCTGCCAGGCTCATAGCTGCAGCCAGGCCCTGGTGCTCCACCACTGAGTCCAAGTTGTAGAGAGACTACAAATCACAGACCGTACAGGAGGAAGAGGGACCTGTTGACCGTCGACATCTCCATAAAAATGCCCACCGAAATCCTCAGCTAAACACTGAGTCAGGTCAGATTTGTTAGAGTATGGTCAGCTACAATATTGTGAAAGTTAGTAAACCTAGTACCGTGCCCAATGTATTAGAATGCTTGTGGTTGAATAATCAATAAGGGATAGTGGTGTTAAGATTCTAATGGCAAAACTCTGTTTAGAAAAAAAAAACTCTTAATGTCTTAATGCTATTATAATAGGTGCAAGTCATTTTGGTTATACTGACTTCCTAGAGGAAGAAATATATATTTTTTTCTTGTTAGATAACAATTCATTAGATATTCAGTAAAACAGAAGAGCGCACAGATGGTTAAGTTATATATAGATTACAGCAAATTCATTCAGTTAATTGCAAGTGACACGACTAGCACTGAAACAAGCCACGTGTTCAATGTGGCATTTGCATCCTTCTAACACATTCTATAATACGTAAAACATAATTATCCAATATGATACAATATAATTAGGGATTCGCATACACAGGCATGTGAAATCAGTCTGAGATCAGGTTGAGGTGAGTTACAGTACATACTCTTCTATAAGATCAAATTTAAAATTCAAACACTGTAAAAAATTATTCAAAACTGTCAAACAAAGACTGTCAATATATGTTGACCCCTATGCTGGCCATACCCATTGCAATGTTAAGATTTAAAGGCATACAAGAACAGATCAAAAAAGGTTGATGCAGCTTATGGGGAGGTTAAATGCAGGTTATTTGCAGGTCAGATTCAAGAATAAATTATCTCAGAAGCATCACAAATTGATTTCAGATGCAAGTGGAATGCATATCAAAGCAGGCTGCATCTGTCCATCGACACAAGCCCAAAGCCTGTTGATGCTGTTGATTGCAAAACGATTTAAAAATGGCAAGACACCTTACCACTATAAGATTTTTGGAAAATGCACAACAACTCTAGAATATTGGATTTCACCTTACTTTTAGTACCAAAAACAATAGTCACCATGACAAATAAGAAGGGTGAATCTCGCAACCAGGAACTCAGGAAGCAGTAAAACCTTTTTAAATTGCTGCAGGTTGAAACACTATAGTTGGTGAGAGATTCAATTTAACTTAAAGTACACCTATCACAAACCTGAGCATAACCAAATGTTAACTCAGTGAAGTCCACTTGGTCCAGACTTATAGGTAGTTATACACCCACTCCTGCCCTGTCAGCTTTCTAAGCTTCCCTATTGGCCAGCGAGGCCAATAACCACATTAAAAGATCAATAGGGTGCCTCAGATGGTAAAAAGGAGTTGGAGCTGAGATCAATTTTTACAGCAAAATACAAGAATTGTATTCAACTTTAGCTGCCCACATTACTGAATTTGCTGATCATCTGGTCATGCAATTTTCAATAACAGAGAAACTACAATGGTTTTAGGTCAAATTTATTTTAGTTGTTTAATTTACTATGTTTTATATAATTTTATTTTAATATTTGTTTTTACAGTAGTAGCAGCCTGCTTCATGACTGGCTTTGTCTGACTGAAACTTTCGACTGAGCTGTCCCATAAAAGATTATTCACTTGAATGAGTTCAGTAGTTAAATGTCATGTTTGCACTCTTGAATATCCCGCCGGCCCTGCCCTTCGCTGTGACGCCCGAAAATGAAACTGAAAGCCGAATACCGGTATCGGCCGGGTGAACACAGCAGAGGACAACGCAGGCTCGCAGGGACAAGGTAAGTGACACTTTTGCACAGT